ATTAGAGCTCTTATGTGCATCAACTGTTTGTGAAAAGCCTTATGAGATTCATCATTGTATAGACTTTTGAGTTTTTGGATCAGATTTTTATTATAATTGTTTTTAAAAAAAATTCTTTTTCATGCTAAATAGTACATCAATAGCAGCTTTTTAACACCCATGAGTGGAATTATGCAGCCATTGATTTCTTATTTAAATATTGAAATTTTGTCACCACGAGTTGCTAAGACCAGTGATGTTGTAAGTCGTGGTAACAGTAGGAATAATGATGTTGGAGTGCTATCATTCATGGTGTTTCCACCTTTACAACTCATGGTATATAAAAGAGACCTGGGAATTAGTCCCAAAATCAAAATAAGGGGTATGTTTTACTATCGTTTCTTCTATCTCCTTAATTTCGAATCCTGGTTTGTCATGCTTAATTACAATTTTTGTTAGTTTGTATGATGGAAAGATTGAACTCTCCACCTTCTATCCATGACTTTTCAACACTATAGGTTTTTTCTAATTTTTTGCCTCTCTATCTATTTGTTTTATGGGTTTTCAAAATCAATCACATGGTATTAGCGTTTAATTAATCAAAATTTCACATATTACTACTTATATATATCAAGTATTCGTTATCTTAAATGTGAAAGTTTGAGAGTTTTTACTCAAAATTACCATTCAACCCTTTTGTCCAAATTACATGTATTGTTCATTCTGAATTCCTCTATTCATATCTATGAACTCACATAAGGTTATTACACACTTAAAGGGAGGGAAGTATGATTTATTTGAGATTTTTTATAAGAAAGTTTGATTTCAAATATTTCAAATATGTCGGTAAGAATTCATGTATTGACCTCATTCATGTTGTTGATTGGTCATTGTTTGGTAAGATTTTCTCACACCAAAAGTAATATTGTTTTATTTAAAGGTAACTAAAAATATGGTCAATGTTCATTCATATCACCTAAAATAACAGATTCTTCTGTTTTGTCATCTGTGTCACTTTAAACCTAACAAAAAAAATTATAATGATAATAAAAACTCAATCTGGAATATAATTTATATGTTGATATAAAACTAGCATCTTGAAAATGAGATTTTGGTACATAAATCTGGAAGTACCTAAAAGATAAAACTTTACATAAATATATTGTGTATAAGTTCTAGTCCCACCAAAAATTATATAATAAACATAGATATATAAGGAAGCAAAATAAAGTTAGCTGTAACTGTTTGCTCAATGCTTATTCTACTTTTTTATTTAGAAAAGGATTGAGTCAACTTCCCTGAATACCATAGGGCACAACCGTAATTTCCTTCATTCTATTTATTCTTCTTCTTCACATCCAAAGGGCATAATATTGTTTTCCTCTTAGGCCAAGAATGTCTTATTCCAGCACAAGATAAAGATTCCTTGCCATGTTTTTCTTTTTTCCCTATCCTTTAATCTATGGTTTCAAATTTATCAGCTTTATAACGTGATGACGGATGACTTACAGCTGACATAAGCACATTGAAGAATATGTGTGTACACGAACTCGTGTTTCATGATCTGGATGTGACATTGCTAAGATCAAGTAGTGAAAGATAGCATCTGGAATGCCTGAAAAGTTTAATACCCGAAAACATTCATTATATGTACCGTGATGCATTTTTAAGAGGTGTTTGTTTTGTAGATTCCGATGGAATTGGAATATGAGATTCTATTCCATGACATCCAAATGGACATAATTAAATTCCACTGGGATCCTTCAGGTTGCATGTTTGATGGATTTCATGTATAAGGTTGGATGGAAGGAATTCATTTTATTCTCCTTTTTAAAACAAAAGACCAAAATACCCTTACCTTTTTTGTAGTAGGCTATGTTTTGAATGAAATTACAATGTTGATTAAGATTTTGAGTTTTGAAATGAAGATGACAAAAGAGCATATGTGGTCATTTGTGCTGCAAAACATAAAGAACAAATTTATGTAGATGGAATCTTTGAAAGGTTTTGATAACTTGGAATATTGATTATGTATATAAATGAGTTGGTGTTTAAGTTGTTTTAAGTTGTGAGTTGGAAAAAGATAACCACATGAAGAATATTGAAATATGAAAAAAGTTTCAAAATATGTAGATATAAAAATTTTGTTGGAATATTTAAAATCTTTGACACATATTGAGCTTAAGAAGGTTTGTTGTTTTCCTGTTGGGATATTGAGCACAATTATTTAAAATATATCAATAGTTTTTTATTAATATAAATTGAATTAATTAGTTTTTAATTATTTGTTTATATTTATTTCAAAAATTTTCTTTTAAAAAATGATTAATGTTTATCCTTTTTTATTGAACTTTTGTTTTTAATCAACCCGTGTATCACACGGGTTCACACCTAATATTTAATATATGAAAGAGATTTTAAGGACACCTGCAATATTTCTGTTTTCCAATTATCTAAATTTTCCATTTAATGTTTACTTACTATTTATTTTTTTTAATCATCTTCGTGTATTATCATGTATGTTTGTTTTTTTTTCAATCTATTAAATTTAATATTTCATTGTTCACGATGATTTTATTATTAATCTTGAACTAAAAGATTGATATGTTTTGAAACCATCCAATATTGTATAAAAATACAAGTTTGTAAATTTATGATTAATGATTATAATATCATATTTTTTTCTTTAATTCACAAACAAAAACTATTCATATATTCTGAAAAATAATTTTACATATTTATGTGAATCAACGATTATAATTTTATATAAATAGAAAAATATAAATCTCTTAATTAATAATTTATTAATATTTACAAGTTTTACTATAAGTATTTATTTATTTTTGTAACTGTAGTTGTCACGAGCTATAACCTAGTATAGAAAGATGGTAGAAAGAAAAATAGAAAGCTATTTGATTTCTCTAATTTAAACGGTAGTAATTATAAGATTATGTATTTAAGTAAAGATCCTTCCACGAGTTTCCTAGAATATCTAATACAAATCATACAATGTTTCTATTTTTACTCTTGTTTCTTAGAAGATACGTTCGAAATCCAGGAAACTTCTGTATTTAGAAATATTCAAAAATTATTGTTGAAAGAACCAAAAGAATGACCATTGAAAGAATTATCTAATTCCACTATTAACTTTATCCTAAAAACGTTCTTATCATCTAACATGTCTTCCGTACCGATTCCATTATTTTGTGTTATCATTCTTTGAATTTTCAAGCTTTATACATTTTATCGTCTAATCTTCATGCAACACAAGGGTTCATATATGTGATGCATAACTTTTTGTGGATAGAAACCCAAAGAGTTTCAAGATCGATGTCCAATAATATTGCAGGTTCTATAGATCAATCCCTCCAAAAACTTGTAGAGGAGGTCATAACCAACGACCCTTCATGGAACTTTGTTAGTTCTGTATACAAAACCAAGATTGATGGCATGTCACATAATGTCACGACAACATGGTCAAAGAATCTCATCACCATTTCCCTCCAAATCACCATAGAAAACCCCTCAAAAGATGAAGATCCTTACGTATGTAGAATTGATGTGAACACGTGGCAATTTTGGGGCAAAAAAGGTTTGAAATCCTTCAAGGTTGATGAAAAACGTGTAGACGTTTATTGGAACCTAAGAGATGCCAACTTCTCGACTAGCCCCGAGCCTTGCTCGGATTATCACGTGGCATTAGTATATGATGAAGACATGGTTTTGTTACTTGGAGATCAAGAAGAAGAAGCTTGTAGGAGAAGCAAGTCAACGACATGTTTGGAAAAACCATTATTATTTCTCAAAGAAGAGAACATTTTTGGTAAGAATTTTTTTACTTCAAAAACGGTGTTGGGAAAAAAAGGAAATGAGCACCACATTGTCATTGAAACGTCTATATCATGTGAGAATAATGAAGAACCTGAAATGTGGATTGGTGTAGATGTTGCTTCGATCCGAATTGACAATTTGCATTGGAGATTTCGTGGGTACGAGGACTTTTTGGTGGATGGTATGCCAGTACAAGTATTATGGGATGTGCATGATTGGTTGTACATGAGGTCAAATTCAGGGTCGGGTGGTATATTTATTTTTAGACAAAACACGAATGGGCTTCAACCCACTAGTCTTTCATGTAGTATTGAAAAAACAAAGGAAGATGATGATTGTGCTGTTGAGTTTTGTCATTTTCTTCATGTATGGAAAATTGATTGAGACAAAAATGTAAATAAACTAAAAGTAATCGCCATTTATCTCGTTAGATTAATATCAAGTTTATATCGACATATTACATGATAGTTTAAGTTTATTAATAATTTTTTTTAATCCAAAATGAAAATTTCATTACCAAATTCATACGAAAGATTTACATATACGTTGCAGGTAAACGAGCAACAAGCTGTGTCGCAACTCCTTTTTGGATGACAAAACTAATTCTTTTAAAAACAACATCTATAGATCTAGGAGCCATAACATTACTATGCACTATTAAGTAGCTCCACAACTTCTGGCGCAAGGAAATCGAAAGTATCAAATGCAAAAGGTATAAACGTGTGTTGATTTTCCATGCACGGTTTCTCATGTTTTGCCACTTTGCTTGATGCAAATTTTAAAGAAGCTTGCCCCACAGTGAAAACTTCACTCCCCAAACACACAAGAGAGGAACCCTCTGTTAGATCAACGCATGCATGTTTTCCTCAAACCCATCCAAATACCAAAATATCAGTTGGTCTAAGTGTTGATCTTCCTTCCAACGTGCCTAAATATATCGAAAAGAACATCCCTCACCAGATCGTGTTGGTACTTGAAACCCATGAGCTCTTTACAATGAACTGCATAGCATGCCTTGCGACAAACAGGGCAAGTCTCGTCAGCTGGAAATAAAGGGATCATTAGGCGCTACTTGAGGATGATACGATAGTCCACTGCCACATATGTAATAAAAAGTTGCATGGGAGGGTTGGGGTCTGTATTGTCAAATCCCGAAACTAAAAGGGCTATTTTTGTCTTAAAAAGTAAGTGACAAGTGTGAAATGAGAACGTCAAAGTTCGGGCCATTTCTGAAATTACCGACTGTTTAGGGCTTTTATACTTGGTTCCTTCAAATTCGAAGAGATTTCAAAGAAATGGCGATATTCGCGGGAAAATGCATTTATGGCGCTGCATTTGAGCTTCAGTCCAGAGTTTTCGTGAAGCCATGGTGAACTATTGTTAATTAGTAGCTTATTTGCTGATAATTCGTATAATTTGTGTAGAAAATTCGATGTTTTGTTGGTTAATTTGTTGATGAATAAGTTGTTTTTTTGGTTCAATAGGGCGACGATGATTATAGTCCGATGTTGTTCGAATTCGGATGAAAGCTCCATGAATTTCCCAGTTAGGTACACTCCTAAGAAATCTTTAAAATATAATAAATTTAATGATTATACTCCGGCTTCAAAGGAATCCAATAATTTCGAAGTGCGTCGATTCACAAACCCCGATTCATTGTATGTTGAGTTTTCAAATGCTGGAGATAGATCCAGTATAGGATTTTCTGTGCACGAGAAATCACTGGATAACGATTTTAAGGAAGGTACATCTCTCTATTTCTAGGGTTTAAGAACTTTAAGTTCTTTATCTTGGCAAATATGTTTCTAATTCTGGATTATTTTCTACGAGAAACGCCATGACCGAAGTAGATTTGGTCTATGTGTATGCAGGCCATGTTATATCAAAAGAAAAGAAAACTTGTAATTCAAATGTGAGATTAGAGGTCGGAGAGCCTGATTACAAATCTGATGAATTTGATGCCATGGAAGGTCTCGATGAGGATTTAGATGGACATGATTCTCTTAATGGAGAATACGAAATCAAAAATCTCACAATTAAAACTAAAGAAGAAGCTGAGAAGACAGCAATTAGATTGCTTGGTGCAAGGTTAAAATCCTTGCATATGAAATTAAACTCTGATAATGCTTCTTGTGTTATTTGTAATGGAGATCCCAACATTTTTTAGTAATTTGTATCCAGAGCATATACAGCACTTGAACTGAAGAAGAAACTGATAGGAAAGAAATTCTCCCATGAAGTTGTGAATGCTGTGATTTCTGACTTCCAAAACAGGTGCATAATCAAATACCATGCATTCTCTTTAGAGATGATCCTTTTGAAGTTGTTGATTTTTCAAGTTTGTTACAGAGGATTTATCAATGATTTGTTGTATGCTGAATCGTTTTCTCGATCAAGATGGTCTTCATCGAGTTGGGGTCCACGTAGGATCAAGCAGGTAAGCATTTCTTTCTGTGATATTTTCTACATCTTAATAAATAAATAATAAAAAAGAAGCTGGAAATTGATTCTGTTTCAGGCATTGGCCAAAAAGGGAGTTAATGATGTGGATGCACAGAAAGCAATAAAAGTGGTGTTAGAAGATGGGGAAACTGTTTCAAGATTTGGGTTATCAAAGCCATCAATGGATCATCTGTTTGCCCAAGTTTCAAAGCAATGGCTTCGTGCTAAAGACCTGCCGACTGAAAAACAAAAATCAAGAATCATCAATTGGCTTCAATACCGTGGCTTTAATTGGGGCGTTATTAACTTTATTTTAAAAAAGCTACAATCCGAGCATCCTCCTTAATGGTTCAAGCTGAGTTATTTAATCTTTAAACTAGATGGAACACTCCCAGAAATCCTATCCATGTTGACTCTAAATCTAAATCTATATAATTGCACTCATTGATTGAATCTCTATATACTAATATGGCTCAAAACATCATTGCCGACTATACCCACAAGCATGATCTAATTACTTGCGTTAGTTTTCATCAGTCAAACAAGTGAAACTGATTGGCAAAGAACCAGTATCCTTGAGACCAATATGTTGGGAAAAACAAAAACAGCCACAACGGTAATTTAACAAAATATGACAGGGAAAACCAGTTAACTCGAATGAATCCTTTTACAATGCAAACAAATAAGAAATTGTAAATGAGCAACCTCTGGATCTCCAAAACATAACCCAACAATTGAAAACGTCGGCCCATATGCATATATGCTATGAAGCTATTCTCCAAATATCAACAATCTTTGTTGCTAAGTTTTTGAAAACGGGAAAAGAACCATTTTCCTTCTCTGTATATCATGGCTGTTAATCAACCCTAGATAGAAGTTACAGAAATACAAGGGTCAAAATCCAAATAGAAAACACAACAAATGTGGCAATGGCTTTTTAATACCAATCAATCAATTCCAGTATTCAACAAATAAGGCAAACATAAGAATAATTCATGTCCACAAACAGATAATCATGTTTGCTTAATTCAACCAGAGCAAAACTTATCAAAACAAGTTGGAAACATAAACATAAACATAAAACATAAGCATAAGCATAAACATGAACATGAAAATGAAGAAATTCAGGTACGGGCAGTCTGGCATGGCTTCCTTCATCAGGTATCCTCAACTCTTGAGTGAAAAACAAAGCTCGGGAATGTTGTTGTGATGTCCCTATCAAAATCAAAATCAAAACCCTAAACTCAAATTCCATCCATACATATCATAAAACAAAATAAAACAAAATAAAAGATGCAAAAAGCTACTTGAGGTATTGAAGGGTCATATTCTTCAAGAGGGATGGATGTCGCAGCACAAGGCTTCTCCATTCTTCCTTGTCTATCTTCCCATCATGTTTTGTATCAGCTTCCTCAAAAGTCTAAAACAAAGATACATTCACTTCACTTAACTGCTCTTTCTTTTTCTTTTTTGACTTAATGGGTTAAGCACACTATTACTATATATATATATATATATATATATATATATATATATATATATATATATATATATATATATATAACTAGTTGAAGTACCTTGTCAATGATACTCTCAATGACATCATCGGAAAGATTCATGCCGGATTCAGCAAGAGTAGCCACCACCATTTGCTTCACCTCCTGCCTCTCTATGAAACCTTGTTGCTTGAGATCATAAAGTTGAAAGGAAACTGCAAATATAAATCATATCTATCATATATAAAGATACACACTTATGAATCATATTTCTATTATTGGAAAACTCACACTCGATCTTATCATCAATGGGGGCATTTGGGTGAAATACTGATAGTGCACGGGCAAACTCTTCAAAACCAAGGATTCCATTATGCTTTGTGTCAAATAAGTCAAACACCTGAAAAGTCAAACTATCAACAACAGCCTTCCATAACATTGTCCAAAAAAATCAAAATACTTTAAACGTACCCGATCAGCAAATAGGCTTTCCTTTTTATTTGTCTTAAATAATGCCAATTGGAACTCTTCCTGTCATACATATCAAAGTTTGGTTATATTAAGAAATAACAACATAAAAGCTGTAAAGAATGTTTGTACAAACCTTATTGATTAATCCGTCATCAATCACAGCACTGCTTATCTTCTTAAATAACTCATAAAGTGCTTCTATTTCGCTTACACTAACTGCATTACACCATACACGACTTTTGTTAGTATCATATGTGACCGTTTTCATGCCAAAAACAACAATTCTGCAAGCCTAACAGTGAGAAATATGGATCAAAAGGGCATACACACTGTCTCTCTTGCTAGAATTTCAGGATCTTCAAGGGCTGTTAATTGTCTGTATGCTTCAAGATCACAGCAATGGAGCAGGGAAGCAAACAAATGCTTGACCCCCTCTAAGCACTGAGACATGGTACTTTTCGCACATCAAAATGCTCCATGATCGTTACTGGAAACAAGACCAAAACAAAAAGTCAGAGGTTTCACCTGCATATATACAAACAAGCAGACAGAAGAGAGATATATGAACAGAAAGGAATAACCTTTCGACCATTTCGTGTCGCTGCTAAAATAAATATTTGATTTTTTTTATTCGGGGCAACCACTCTGTCTCTGTTAGAAGTAAACAGGAAAAAAAAAATTACAATCATCGAAATCAATATATGACGATTCAAATCTATATACTTATTCAACACATCAATTTAAATCTGTATACTTATTCAACATAGAAGTACAGCACGAAGCAATCAAAGTTGATATACATCTCAGATCTGTAAATGACGCCAATTGGAATATACCAGGAACATCGCCGCGTGATCCAATTCAACAATTCGATCATAATTCAACATATAAATTCAAACGAATCAGCAATTCGATCCCACTAGAACAATTGCAGATCTTGCAACTGCCGAACATAATCTTGATTTCGAACAAGGGAAGCAGGAATCAAGAATTGAAATACAGACGGATAACATAAACTAACCTTAGGAAATATTGGTTGTCTTGATTTTGCTCCAATGGAGACGAGATGAAATCTTGAACCCTATTGATTGATTTATGAATGATTTGAAGAGATTTGATTTCACAGAAGCCCAAATCAGAGGATAAAAAATGGAAGAAAATAAATTAATAGAAAAAACCAGAAAACATTTTACCCTTAAATGCAATGATGGGAGAGATGACACGAAGATGGTTGATGGGGGTGATAACCTGTGATGGTGATAGGGTACATATCCGTAGCCCCGGCGGAGACCAGTGAGGTAGATCACGTGACCACCAAACAGATAGACTCGAATCGAACCTTTTTCGTCTTTCTAGTTTTTACTTACCGTTAATTTCTTGAGATAACTACAAAGATATTAAAAAATAACTTTATAGATAATGCATTATTATTTTTATATACATATTACATTACTTTTTATATGATTTATAATTCGAAATTATTATTGCGATCTAGTTGTTCAATAATGACTAATTTTGTATATGTTTAATTATTTTCATCTTATTTGTGTATCATTATATTTTTTATTATTTTTTCGGTAAATACAATTCCAAAAAAAAAAAACCCTCACCAGTTCATTTTGTTAGAAACATTGCAAAACGCACCCTCGCATCCTCTGTGTTGAAACACCTTTGTAAACTTTATTATCGTTGACATCCATCGTCAGCTTCACACATTCTATGTTCTAAAAACTAATTTTTTAGTTGAACCGAACTAATAATCGATTCCTAATTCGATTGTCGGTCCAATCGTCTGTTAACCCAAAAATTAGCTTATGCCTGACAGTGGTGTAAGTCGGCATTCAAGTTGTGTGCACTCTAAAAATGTTCAATTTGTTTTGGAAGTGAGTTGTTTTTTAACAGTGTAACGTCCCGATTTTTCAACCAAAAAATTTCATTTTTATTTATTCAATATATCAAAGTATGATTACATTGTGAGAAAACATGTTGTGAATGAGCGTGTGTAAAGTCGAACCTTGTCATTTTCATGAATCACCACAGTACATAAAAAACATTTTTATTCAACTAGGTAAACACGAGACTTAGTGAGTTCCTCAAGATATTATATACCGCAATATATATATATATATATATATATATATATATATATATATATGCATATAAACGGGCCCCACCCCAAACTATAAAACAGGCTGTGCCCAAACTACTTAATGGGTCCCACCCAACATACATAAAGGGCCTCGCCCAAACTGCATGACAGGCCCCGTCCAACATACGAAACCATACATAGAGACTACATCTTAAGTTTCACTAATACAGGCACATAGAAACTTTACTATCGGCTTTACTCTACTAACTTATATATCCTAACATATATGAATATGTATTATAACATATGGTGTAGTGAGATAACTCACCTGGAAAGTTTCTTGGAAGATTAACAGCTTTCTAGAGATCCCATTGGAGGGCAACATGCCTAACGAGTATTAACCTATAATATTATTACTTATTAATCATTAAGAATCTAATAATGAAAGTTAGATCTTTCACTAATCCCAACGAATACCAATAGTTCTATCAAATAAGGATCAGCCAAGCCGGACAGTTGGGATGTAGGGCCATTTCGACTTATAGCCTTCCTAAAACCCATTAACCAAGTCAACGTGACCATTCTATACACATTTCTCGTGTGTAGATCAATCAGTATTATAACCAGAATTATAGATAAACCTTATTTATAGGTTCATAATAACGATTATGACCATAAATATAAGTTACACTTGAATTAAGATAAGTAAAACTTAATACAAAGATTTTAGCGAAACCCGGGAACTTCCCAAGCAAAACTTTAAAACCAAAAGTGTAACGACTGGTTCCCTGGTACACATTTAATTTAATTATTTATTTATTTTGAGAGAGGGACTTGACGAGTTGGTAGCCCTAACTCATCGAGTAGAAGGCATAAAATGCACGAGTTTTAAGTGAGCTACTCGACAATTCGGGGTTTTGACTCGGCGAGTAGGACAAGTTGGATGAAACCCTAATCTTTAGGGCTTGCACCCTATTTAAGCATTATATCTAGCCTCCATCCCAACCTCTATCACCTCCAAACCCTAATCTCGAAACCCTAATCCACTTTGAGTGATCTTGAGCTATTTCTTCCCATTTTGAGTATTATTTGTGCCTTTTGAAGCTTGTGGAAGAAAAAGATGATATAAGGTTCAAGAGGGAAGAAGTAGATCTAGGAACTACACTCAATTTGCTACATTTTCTAGTAATCAAGTCCCTAACTTGATCATTCTTCTCTTGGATCTATTTGTTTCCATTTTATGAAGGTTTTGGTTCAAGAACCTTGGTCCTCGGGATTGGGACATCCCAAGTGACTTATATTTCAGATCTGGGATCTAGGAAGGGTTCTATGGCATAAAGGTGCAAACTTTATGACCATGGAAGCCCCATGCAAGCTTGTAGGCAAGATCTCCTTGGACTTGGACTTGGACTTGAACTTATGACATCGGGACTTACTGTAAACTACTTTGACCGGTGTAAGTGGTTTGAAATATATAACTAATCTAAGTAAATATTAGAGAATTATTAGAAAATTATTTTTTAGAAAAGATTATTGTTAGTCAACAAATAGTTGGAGTCAATCATTGTCATGCTTTGTAAAATGAAAATGATTGAGCATTTTTATCATAACATGTTTTCATGAGAGTGAGGCCATAATTTGTTCCATGTGCTAACCTGATATCTGTAAAAGTGAACAAGTGTTGTAACTTTTGATTTGTTAAGTTGTGTCAGGGAATGGCTAAAAATATTGTTTTAATTATTATATATGTCTTTGTGGGGTTAATGCCAAGTTATCTTAAGACACAACAAGTACACCTTCGACTGTATGACACAATGAGGTTAATTGGATTGAATCTGTTCGTTTTTTTTTTTTTTTTGTTTATTACATTAATATTTAATATATATATCTTTATATATATATATATATATATATATATATATATATATATATATATATATATATATATATATGAAGCATTGTTAATCTTTTTGTACATATGTTATTTTCATTAGTTTTTCTTTTATTGCATGCATTCACTCTCAATTCCATTTAGTCCTTTTCGTTCCTTCCATTATTTTCATCCTAGTTTCTTTTTAGTCACATATTGTCTTCTCTAGGGTGATTCTTAATTTTGTTCTTTCTTGAGGACAATAAATGTCTAAGCTTGGGGAGGTTTGATAGGTGCATTTTATGCACCTATTTTGCATTTTTATTTCCGTCCTTTCATAGCATTCTACTTCATAATTCTTGTAAATAGTTAATTATTTGGGCAACTGCATATTTCATTAAAAATGCCTCGTACTTCACCATTTTTGATTTATTTTGTAGGCATTATGGTGCATGGAGCTTGGAGCATGAAGTTTGGAGCTTGGAGCATGGAGTTTGGAGCTTTGGAGCATGAAGAGAAGATGAATCGGTCATTCCATGGCAGAAAACATGAAGACATAACCCGAGTCATTGTTGCATTGTCATCATAGTAGGGAGTATGGGGACCATGGAGGGGTAAAATGGTCTTTTACCCATTCCATGAGTTTGAGAGAGAGGTTAACCTAGCTTATTTCGAGTCGTGATTTAAGTGTTGATTAGAGATTATTATCTTATGTGTTAGGCAGAGGCTAGTTAAAGATTCGTGTATGAGATTATTACTTACTTGATTACGTGGTGAGTCTTCTCGTTGTACTTACCATGAGTGCTATCAATGTGTGACCGAAGGGTCTTATGTGTTATATTGAGTATTTGATATCTTGCATCATGTCTTGTGATTTATGTTGATTATTGTATTTATTATTATTATCATGAGCTTATTAAGTTAGGACCGGATGGTCCACCCGAGCTGTGGGACCGGAGGGTCTCCACTAAGACACATTGACCAAAGGATGGTATCGAGTAACCTCGAGTGGAAAATGTGACGTGTGTGGTATTTTGGGGAACTCACTAAGCTTTGTGCTTACCGTGTTATGTGTTATGTGTTTCAGGTACCTCTTAGGATCACGGGAAGATATCGACTTGATTGTACACACACCCGAGTTGGAGATATGTTTTTTTGGAGGATCCTGGATTTGTGATATATTCAATTTTGGAACATGTGTTCTGATAACTTGATAATTGTGGGTTTTTATGAATTTGAAATGTGATAATTGTGTTTTTAAATAAAAATTTTTGTTTGAAAATTTACGGCGTTACATTCTTGTTGTTAAATTTAGATCATATTGTGATTGTTATTGAAATTGGTTAAGTCTTTTCTGAAATCGACTAATTTTTAGTAAAATCGATTCACACTCTACTAGGATTAGCTCTCTTCTTTCTGTATACATCACAAGAATCATGTTTTCATATCATAGTTCCATAGATGTAGCTAGAATATTGGTTGAAATTATGG